TTTAGGTGAATGCATAATAATATATTAGTTGAAGTGTATGCATATGATGTTATCTTGTTTAGTGTGATTCATATGAATGGGTGATTATCTTGTTGAATGGAATGATTGAGATGCTAAAATGTTGTAGTTCATGAGATGACTAGTTGTTAAGCTATATGCTAATGTCGATACTTTTAGTATAATTATTTCTCCTTCTATATTTGTGTATGATTACTTCTTTGATATCTAACTTACCCTTGCAATGTTTTCTTAGTAACTGGACTACGATGATTATGTTTACATGATAGTACGGCATGATTAGATAGAGGTAGATTATGTTTTGTGGAGTCATGTTGTTGACACTACTTTTGACGAGAGTTGTTAGTAAATGTTTGATCAACAACTTAAGATTAATATTCAATATTGGATTACTGTATGTATTATATATATATATATATATATAACTATTATATATTTTTAGTAGTTATTTTAAATTTTACACATGTATATTACATAGATATATCTAGGTATTGTTTATATATTAATCATAATTAGATATATGTTATTTTATTCCATTACGAATAAGAACCGATAAGTAAAAGAATCATAACGAATTGTTTCAAAATAAAGTCAAAACACAGTCACATATAGACAAATTTTAATTTTGAAGACAATTTACTATTCATTTCAAACAAAACCCTCATAATGAATTGGAATCGTTTTCATTAAATACTTTAATGAAAATATTTATAAAATTAGTATACTCCTATATTCGTTTAAATAAAAAAAACTACCACCAAAAATATGAATCAGCTAGTGCTAAAAAATTAAACTTAATGGTATATATTTTAAGTTTTGAATGTTTAGTTACATTGAAATATTTAAAGAAAAAAAACTCTGTTCTCTTGATAATTGTGATTGTATATAACTCAAGCAACATTAATTAAAGGTATCGAATAGGTCGATTAAATTCTGTTGAATCAATACATGTTCGATTCAAATCTCAATAATCATTAATTTTTGAAGCAGCATAGCCCTCGATAGATTTTGTGTTTCTAAATAATCGATCCAATCTTACTTTATGATTTATTATGTTAGATTAATTTGACTTGATTTTTTTAAAATAAATTTTTTTTTTAATTTGATCCGATCCAATTATTTTAACGACTTTAAATAAGATTGCATCTAGTAAAAAAAATACATGTTATCTCCCATTAAAATGGAGAAAAGGCAAATAATGAGTAAAAATAAATAAATAAAAAGGAGGAAAAATGTGAAGTTTTTTTTTAAATTTGTCTTAACAGGAAAAATAGATGGATATAATTGAAAAATGATTGGGAAAGTGAATGAATGATAGAAGTTGTTAAAGAGTAACAATCGTTAGGAACATGGCCCGTACAGAGAGACAGGCGCACGAAGGTGTCGAACATGCGTCGAAACAAACCGTGTGACGGGTAAGACAAACTTCCCATTTCATTTCATTTCATTTTTTGTTGCAATCACGCTCCCTTAGGGGACCAATTTTCTGCACCTTTCAACCTTTTTTTTTTTTTTACCCTAAAATTCTACAATATTCTGAATTTCGTTTTCTGCAATTTTTTTTAAATATAATAGTTTATTTTTAAAAAGTGTAATTTTTTGAACAGTGAATCAAATATGTAGTAGAAAAAGTCGAAGAAAACTAATTAGTCATCGTAATCTTATTTGACTTCACATTTTTTTATATGATAACCTTTCAATTCAATTATGCTGAATATATAATCATAATAACATAATTACATCAAATTACTTGAGAAAAAAAAAAGATGTTTATGATGCATGTCATTTCATTAGTTAAATTTGGCTGAAAATTAATTAGAACAAATTTAGACTTCAGAAATTATTACTATGTAATTAAATCAAATATTAATACACATTACACTATTTAATTATATGTGTCTGTTAAATTTAAAAATCTCAATAATGACTTAACTTGTATAATATGAATTTATTTTTGAAGAGGAATGATTCATGTTGGTGTTGTTTTGCCAACGAGAAGAGGGTCCCAAAAACAGTGCATTGGTTGGAATAGGATTGAAGTTTTGTCATGACACGTGTGCATTTTATGCCTTTTCTACTCCCATGTGCTAAAGTTATAGTTATAGTCCATAACCCCTCCTTATTCCATGCCCATGGACCTATCTACCCCTTTTCATTTTTATAATTATATCAACCAACCAAATAATTTGTCACGATTAAACCTACACCTACAAGATCATTTTTGTTTTCTCCATGAAATACGTGTTAATTTTCCTCACCATAGCTTCATGACACGTGTCCCACGTCTTCATCCTTAATATTTAGGATGGTTTAATTTTATAGGTGCCAATTAGTAGTATAAAGTAAAGGATGACAGGAGTTTCTAATTTATCTATGTATTAGTGGGTATATCTGTCTATTATTTAAAAAGAAAAAAAAAAGAATGGGTGATTAGTTAAATTGTTACTAAAAGTAAAAAAAAAAAAAAATTAGAAGAACAAAGAAATAATAGGAAAAAGTAATTTAAAAATACCTATAAAAATAAAAATAATTAAAAAAATCATGTACATTGACATGATATATCGTTTTTATAATAATCTTATATATTATTATAGATAATTATTTTTAGTTATTAAATATATTATTAAAACAAATAATTAAAATTAAATCATTCTTCCATATATTGTTTTGTTAAGTTTAACAATATATAATAAATTTAAACATGTTTTTATTCCATGTAAAATTAATAAATTTTGATTTTGATCCTAATAATTTTTTTATTCTTTTAAAATTTAGAATTTTTATTTTTTTATTTTTTTATTATGTAATTATTTTTTTTAACTATTTATTTGTTTTTTTAAATTGAAGGGAACATAAGTATTACCATTTTCAAAATTTTTTATAGATCCTTGAAATTAATATTATTTATCTATCTTAAAATCATAGACTAAAAGTACTGATTGTAAATTTTAAATACATAAAAATTAAGAATTTTTTTAAAAAAAATTAATAATAAAAATTATTTATTTTAAAATAATAAAAATTATTTATTTTAAAAAAATAGAAATTATTTAAAAATGAAAAAAAAATATTTATAATTTTTTAAAAAAATATTAAATTATAAAAACTAAAATCAAATCTAAACTAATAACATATTTAATTACTCAACCTTTTTCTTCTTACATTGTAATTTACCTATTTTATGACATATATCTCTATAATATTTGACAAATGAAAATACTCTCACTAGGGGTCATTCCATTTACCATGTATAATAATTAATGTACGCCCCTGTTTTTATTTACAAAATACATTGCCTAGTGTAACTTAATTGAGATCTTAATGAGTTACTTTGAGAAAAACACAAATAGTTTTTTTTTTTTTTAAAGGGAAACATAAATAGTTATTTTGTGTTGAACCCTCCATGATTTTATACTCGTTAAAAAAAAATTATCAAACTAGCACGGTAATGTATTTGAATTAACTGAGTTAAAATTAACATTATTTTAAAAGCAACAAATAGTTATTTTGTGGTCATATCATTGTAATTTTGTACCCACCAATTGCTTTCTATTATCAAATCAAATAATATTAATTACTAAATAGTTTTTATCTCTTAACAGGAATTTTATTTATAATATTCTCATAATATATATTATATTATAAAATATTTATTAATTTTGTCAAAATTAATTTTTATAAAATAATAAGTAATTATTTTTAATAAGATTTTCCTTGCTAATCATAATCTTTTTATTTACAAAATTTGAATTCAAAATCACACGATATTTTTTTCTATCATCATTGAGTTTACTTAAATTTTTTTAGTACAGTTTGAAATGAGATAATTTATATTGTAATAATTTATATTGATAATTTATTTTAAATATAAATATTTAATTCACAAATAATTATGATAAATAAAAATTAAATTAAAAATAAGTTAAATATTTATACAAATCCTCTAATCTCTAAAAATACTATTGTACAAAATAGAAATTTATATTTAATGTAAAAAATTAATATAATTCAGATATATTTTTAAAATAATTTAAATAACAAATTTTATAACAAAAAATGGGCTGAGTTCAATAATTTTTTTCCAGCTATAAGATAAATAAAAAAATATGTCACGTTGTACAAACAAAGCTAGCTAGGTCACACGTGACTGGATATTACACGAATGTACACAAGAATATGTAATAGTTATTAGTATTGTGTATATAATTAAAATTTATAATAAATTATATATAAATAAATATTTTATTTAAATATATAAATAATATATGAAATTAATATGTATAAATATTTTTAAATAAATAAATTTTATTTTAAATATATGATAAATAATTTATATTATTGTGACAAATTTTTTTTTATTTTTTGATAGATTATTTTAAAATATTAATATTTAAGGAGTGAAGAGAGGAATGGAGCAAATTCCCTCCCAACTCAATTTTAGATCCTCTCTAATATTCGAGAGATTTAGAGAGAAAATAAAAGATTTTGAAACATTTTTAGTATAATAGAAAAATATTATTATTTATGTTATTAAATTAAAAACTATAAAGATACAATAATAAATTAATTTTTAAAATCTTTTTTCGTTTGTAAATCAAATAAGAAAATGATTACATTTCATCCTCTTCATTAGTTCTAATCAACCAAAAATTATAATTTTTGTTCTTTCTTTTCTTCTATTAAAATTATTCTCATATCTTTCTTTAAACTAAACAACTCTCAATGAATGAATAGATAAATATTTATATAGGAAAATAAATTATTTTTGTATTTTATGGCATATATATAAATATTTATTTTGATTAAATACGTTGGATGATAAAATAAATTGTTTCGGTGCTGATTTGTGTTTATATGAACGACAATTTTCTTTTCTCTATGTATATAGCTAAGTATGCTATTATTTTGGTACATTAAAAGGTTTTTTCGTTGTCCAATAAATACTTTAATTTTTCTGTGATAACGGTGAATTGAGAAAATGCAATTGGCAAATGACGTTTTGTTCGTAAGTTGTAACTGTAACCCAATCAGAGAGAGTTATTGACTCTTCACCTCACACTCATCACTGTAATTAAGAGCCTTGGCTTCCAAACATCAATGTCACTACACAGCAAGAACATCAAACCAACGCTCTCTCTCTCTTTCTCTTGGGCTTTTCATTTTGAAATTGTGCTTAGGGTTGTTGTATGAGGTTGAGCCATTAACAGTTAGCAGATCTGCCATGGCCACCAGCCACATTGGGAATGCCGGAGACGCCGACGCCAAGTCCTTCAAGCCTCGCCCCAAGAAGCCCTCCGACGACTTCATCTCCCACTTCCACGGCTCCGATCCCATCCGCGTCGAGCTCACGCGCCTCCATAACGAACTTCGAGGCATGCACCCTCTTCGACTTCACTTTCGCTTTCGATTTTTCTATCACTACCTTACTTACTTACGCTTTCTCACTAGCAACTTAATTCAAACGCGCTAACTGGCAATGTCTTTATTTAATTTTTCTATTTAATGAATAATCTTTACATAGGAAATGGCTCGTGCTGGCTTAGTTTGATTATTTTTTCTTACACTGGATTGGGTCGTTTGCAGAGAAAGATAGAGAGCTTGGGGATGCTCTTGCGGAAATTAAGTCCTTGAGGAATTCGGAGCGTCTTAAGGGGAAGGGGGTTGAAGAGGTATCTTTCTTCTTCAAATTCTCTAAATAAATGCCTTATGCTGTTAACCTACTTTTAATTTGAAGGGAAAAAAAATTAGGCATTTCTGTTTTTTCTTGATTAAGTGCAGACTCCATTAGAAAATAATAGGTCCTTTGGTTATTTCTAATTTGATTGTTCTCGTTCAGCGGATTTAATTTCTACTTGGCTGGTGAATTTGCTTCGAACTTTTTTTGTTATTGAAACAGCAATAAATTTAACTCGCTCGAGCTTGAAATGTATTAAGTATAATAACATTCGGAAACTGAAATGATAGATGAGGAAACCAGAGGTATCACTTTACTCTTAAAATGGGCCGACCCGGCAGGAAGCTCTTAAAATGATAGATGAGGAAACTCTTAAAATGCGTAGCAATTCTGTATTATTTATCTGTCCTTAGCTCTTCTGTTGCAAGGTCCAGGATAAGCTTTAATTTTTAGTAGCTGTATTGTTTATCACAAGGAACCTAGGTATTTTCATGGTATGACCATATATTCTATCGAAGCAGTCAACTACTACATTCTGTTTTCCTAAATATCTTTGACAAAGCAAAACAAGGCTCTACTGTAAACATTCACCTCATAATGTTTTCATATCTCTAGAACTACGTGTTTTTAGTAGTTCTTTGACTTGAAGTATAAATGTTGTGAGGTTTTTGCTACTTGATGTCTGTATGTAATGAAGATTTTGGTAGTTCAAAATCTCAAATTTAAATGTTATGACACCTTTGTTTTCGTTTGTTTAATCATCTCAGCTAACAGATGAGCTGAACAAGGTGGATGAAAAGCTGAAAACAGCTGAAGCTCTTCTGGAAAGTAAGGTAGTACTAGTAGTTACACACTTACACTAGTTATTGCCTCATTTCCTTTTTTCTTCACTTCTCTGTAAGACAATAACTATTATTTCAGTGCCACTTAATGCTAGTATTATATTTGACAGAACCTTGAAATAAAAAAAATCAATGAGGAGAAAAAGGCAGCACTGGCTGCACAATTTTCTGCAGAAGCCACACTTAGAAGGGTTCATGCTGCACAGAAAGATGATGAAATGCCTCCTATTGAAGCTATTATTGCACCCCTGGAGGCAGAGCTCAAGCTTGCTAGGATGGAGGTACATTTTGATGGCTATATTATGCATTGAATTGGTTTTTAGCTGGGACTGGATGGTAGTTTTCAGTTATTCAATGTCTTATGGATGTCTCATTCCATGATCAGAATCAAGACCAAAGGGTATATATTACTTATCCTTTGCTTCTATATACTTTTAGGTGGCAAAGTTACAGGATGACAACAGAGCATTAGATCGACTAACCAAATCGAAGGAGGCTGCACTTCTTGAGGCTGAGAGAACTGTTCAGATTGCTTTGGCAAAAGCATCCTTGGTTGATGATCTGCAAAACAAAAATCAAGAGTTAATGAAACAAATTGAAATATGCCAGGTCTGTGTTGTGATGCTTTTTTTTTTTTTTTTTTTAAATTGTGCCTATCCTTACTTGCGAGCAAGGCATATATTTTACATACTCAACGAGAGAAATGCAAAATTTAGTGAAGTATTTTACACTCTTATGTTAGGAGGAGAACAAAATTTTGGACAAAATGCTTCGGCAAAAGGTTGCTGAGGTTGAAAAACTTACCCAAACTGTCCGTGAGCTTGAAGAGGCTGTCTTGGCTGGTGGGGCTGCTGCTAATGCTGTCCGTGATTATCAGCGTAAAGTGCAAGAGATGAATGTAATTATTACCTTTCTTGAGATACTCATCATATATAGTGTTTGTTGTTTTGAGTCTTTTGAAGATGCTCTTAGCTGCTTATAAGTTCTAACCTTCAAAGTTGAAATAGGAGGAAAGGAAAATTTTGGAGCGGGAAGTAGCTCGTGCCAAAGTTACTGCAAACAGGGTTGCAACTGTAGTTGCAAATGAGTGGAAAGATGCTAATGATAAAGTGATGCCCGTGAAGCAGTGGCTAGAAGAAAGAAAATTTTTTCAGGCATGTAAACAGCTAAGAAATTGCTTTTCTTTGTCTTTTGCAAGTTGTTTTGATGTTTCTGGTAGCAGATGTTCACAAAATACTCCTGTTGATCGATGTTTTCCATATGTTTTCCTGTTCTAATCTTTGGCACTAGTCTTTTTGGTTACATTGTGGTTGGATGTTTATATATCTGATGCCTAGATTAGATGATTACTGACTGGTAGAGAGGGGGTAAGCAAGAAATATAATTGATGATAAAAAATGTAGGTATGGTAAATTGTATGTCTCTTGTTGCTTCCTATCTTACTAACAACTAACAAGGCAGGTGTTTTCTAACTCATGTTGGGTACCAACACAGATTATATATAGCTTTCTACCATGTGACTTCCCATTATGATGCATTTAGATTATTTGTTTTTACTATTTGATCTCTATTGTTGTGCTATATGCCATACATTATTCAAAAAAAGATTCTTGTCATCAATTAACATGGTTAAGTGCTTCCCTGCTTTTAAACAAAAATGATGATTTGAAACCAGTAGTCAGTCATAAGTGGAGAAACTGTTAGAGAAGCTAAGAAATGTTTTTTATATTATTTGCCAGAACTTGAATGCTAGAATGAAGTTTTTATTTTTTGGTGAGAAAATTTTTATGGAATGAAGTTATTTGATGTCACATAAATTGGATGGAGTTTTTGAGGTTTCGTTGAAGACTTGTATCAACTCCATTATTTTGTAGGGTGAAATGCAACAATTACATGATAAATTAAATTAGATGGAGTTGTTGAGGTTTCATTGAAAACTAGTATCAGTTTCATTATTTTGTAGGGTGAAATGCAACAATTACGTGATAAATTGGCCATAGCTGAGCGCACTGCAAAGGCAGAGGCACAAATGAAGGTATATAATATGTATTATCCGACTTCAAACTCTTGATTCCTATCGAAAAGCCTCTTCTAAACAATTTAATTAATTTCACAGGAAAAATATCAATTGCGCTTCAAAGTTTTGGAAGAAAGGGTTAAAGCATCTAATGGTAATTCCAAATTCACTGTATCAGATGGAAGAAACATTGCCACTGGGCCTTCAAGGCGACAGTCTTTTGGTGGAGCTGAGAGTCTCTCTGCATCCTCTTTCAATGGATATGTATCAAGGAAAAACTCAATTTCACGATCAGGGTCTCTAAGATCAAATAGTGCTAATGTGTTACTAAAACATGCCAAACTGTCATCTAGATCATTCGATGGTGCTAGTAGAAACCTGGAGAGAGAGAGGTCATCTTTGGTTTCTAATGGGCTAGATAACATGCCAACAAATACCAATAATCATACCATCCCCAGTGAGACAACTTGTACAAATGAGGAGAGTGCAAATGGTACTCCAGTTGAAAAATCTAAAGCAGAAAATGAAGACTATGTTTCAGGAATGCTGTATGACATGTTGCAAAAAGAGGTTATATCTCTGAGGAAAGCTTGTCATGAAAAAGATCAGACTCTTAAAGACAAAGATGATGCAATAGAGGTATCGTCTCATTTCCGAAATATGATTGCATAATAGATTCAACCTTTTCCATCTTCTAATTTAATTTGTTTTAATGTTGGAAGATGTTGGCAAAGAAGGTTGATACATTGAACAAGGCTATGGAAGTTGAGGCCAGAAAAATGCGAAGGGAAGTAGCCTCTATGGAAAAGGAGGTTGCCGCAATGCGGATTAGCAAGGAACATGATCCGAGGGTACGGCGATCTAGTGCTCCTAGGGGGGCTGTAAATTCACAGTCAATTTCTGCCAGGTCAATTTTCTATCTTTTTTTCTTTATTATGATATTGTTTCTTTATTCTTCATTTTTAAGTATACAAAGAAAATAGTAATACTTGAACATGGTTATTACTGTCAAAATCTAGGATTAGGTTCCTCTAGATTGGTGTGAAGGTACAGAATGGATCAGCATTCATCATTGATGAGAAATTCAACTGTATAAATTTTTAAACAAGTACGAGCAACTTGATAGTAGTATGTTAATATCCTTTAAATGATATTAATATCAAAATATAAGATGCCAATATGAACTTCAACTATCCTTTTTATTTTGCATTAGAACTTCTGCACTAAGGCTGGTATCTTAAAAACGTAGTTTTACTGTAAGCCTTTATCAAGGGATGCTCTTGTATGTTGCGGTGAACATCACCTTTCTGCCAATGGTGCTTCATTTTTACGGATATTCACAGCACTTTTTTTTTTTGGATTTTCAGGAGTGCGCGTAACTTTTAGCAAACTCATTGGCAGTGCCTGTGATCCTGTGTAAGGAATTCCTCGCCCCTGTGCCGATGAACAGAGTTGTTGATTTATCATTTTTTATTCTCTTTTCCCCATCTCCTGTATTTAAGCTGTCTCGACCAGGGGTAAGGTGTAAAGAAAGGACCTTGTGTTTTGTAGGGAATCCATGTCTTGTATATTTTTTTTGTATACCATTTTCAGAAAGAAAACTTAGAATTAGTGGAAGTATCTGAATACAGCTTCCTCAAAAGTTATTTCAAAATTCTTCGAGAGTCAGCCTTTGGGCTGCACCTAATCTGGATTCATTCTAGTCTAAACTGGATTGAAGTTTTCTTTGCTTTCACCAAATTCTCAGAAGAAAAAAATGATGCCGCTCATGTTCACGTTTGGGTTTTAAAGGAAAAAGTTGTTGGACATTCTTTAGGTAACGAAATCTAGAAATTTTTACGTAAATAATATTTTTTAAAAGAAAAATTACAAAAATGACACCTGTGCAAGTTTATTTACAGGAATAGAATGATTTACTGTTTATGCTCGGAATTTGGTTTCCCGGGAACCGAATTTTGAGCTTCAATTTTTTTTTTCTTCTCAGAATTCGGTTCCCGAGGAACCGAATTTTGAGTTAGTTTAATTTTTTTTTTTCCGTGTTTGTGGCCCATTTTGGGCAAATGTTAGAAGTGGAACGGCTCGTTCCGGAAGCAGAACGGCCGTTCTGCTTAAAGAAACAATCTTTTTTTTGAAATTAAAACGGGCCGTTTCATTTTCTGGAATGGCCTGTTCTTAGCCCGTTTTAATTTAAAAAAAAAAAACTCTGTGTCTTTAAGCAGAACGGCCCATTCTGCTTCCGGAACGGGCCGTTCCACTTCCAACATTTGCCCAAAATGGGCTACAAACACGGAAAAAAAATATTTTAACCTAACTCAGAATTCGGTTCCCCGGGAACCGAATTCTGAGAAGAAAAAAAAAATTTTGAAGCTCAGAATTCGGTTTCTCGGAAACCGAATTCTGAGCATGAATAGTAAACCGTTATATTCCTGTAAATAAACTTGCACAGGTGTCATTTTTGTAATTTTTTTTTTAAAAAATATTATTTCCGTAAAAATTTCACGAAATCTAACAAATGTGCCTTTTTATAATTTTATAATTACTGACAAGTGTCTGTACACCAGAAAAATAAAAAAATTGACAAGGGTCTGCTATTGGCCCAAGTCAGAAGTATTCGGTGATCAAGCATTGACGCCTGTGATATAACAATATCTTAATATAAAAAAGAAATGCACAAAAGCAAAATTAACTTACACAAATAATGATGGGTAATACTATAATTGTGTTTGTCTCAACAAAGACAAAAATTAATATTAAACGATCGTCATCTTATAAATACTTTCATATAAAACTTAAAAATAACTAATTAGTAATTAGAGGAATACACGGATTTTTTTATTTATTTATTTTATATTTCAAATAAAACTCATGTATAAAAGTTATTATTTAGAGCTGACGGCCTTAAGTATTAGACTTAATTTAAGTTCTAATATGTAATTCTATTTTCAGTTTCAAATGTCAACGAAACACTAATAATGCATGAAAATAAAATCCCACCATGTTTGAATACAAAATAATCGTCCTCAAGTTGCTCGCTAAAAATAACTAAATAAGGCAATCATCAAAATAAAACAAGATAAAAATGAACACATGTTTTACATTACATTCATCCTGTATCCAATGCACTAGGACTTCTAAGCAAAATGTCCAATACCCAAGCAAGTTCAACAGTTGCATATTTTACGAATAACTGTTTCCCTACTCATAAACGCCTAAGAATGAAACTGATATAAACGTTTGAATGATAGCTTATTCTTCTAAATATATTGAATTTATTGTATTATTTTCTCTTTTGTGCGTAAGCACAGTACTTGATCAAAAGCTACTGTCACCGAGGTGATATATAAAGGATAAAATACAAAAGAAATATTCAGACTCGGTAGGATGAGGTTTAATAAAGGTCAACCCGTTTAAGGCAACTTTGACTTAGTCACTCAGATTAATCTGCTTTTACATAAGAATCATAATACATGATGCATTCTTTATATGAAAATTACCTTTCGGATTAACCACAAAGTCGGATACCTTGAAAACCTCTCGCTCTCTCGCAACGAATATTTTGAAGAGGCTATAAATATAAACGTTAGGAAGTAAAGGAGAGATCTTTACCAATTTAGCTGTGCCAAAATTTTGTTTCTTTTAACTCTCATTCTTTTTGTATTATCTTTTCAGTTATCATCTACCAAACGAATGCTATATTAATTTAACAAGACTTGTCCTTTATTAACAAGTTAATTTATTCTTAGTCATAACTCAAATATTTTATTTATGAGAATTATCTTTTTAAACGCCAACATTCTATCATGTTTGAGCTTATAAAAATATTTGTAAATAATTCTTTACAATTTTAGTATACTTGTGTAACTTGTTTGTGATTAATGAAACCCTTGTAGTTTAAAAATAGTTAGACGTGATTTAGTTTAAATAAATAAGTATAAATTTGATTTGTGATTTGGTTTTACATCCTTCACTTTTTCTAGAGAAAATGCCTCATAAAAGATTTGTGACATTTTTTCATACACAAGCAACTTCCTTATGTGTGTTTATTTCTCATTCATCTAAAAACACTCTTAAGATAATATTAGGTTTGTAGGTTGCTCATAATGACAATCTTTGGTAGTGTTATACACCATGATATGATGAATGAATTTATATGCATTGCTTAATTACTCATGTGCAATAATAGAATAGAAGATGTGACTCGTTATTATAAATTAAAAATAAATGATTCATGAACATCTTTTGTAGTTTTACTTATTAAAATATAATAAAAAAGAAAACTATAAATAATTATAATACATAACATAATATACTTTTTTTAGTTCTTTATAAGATTCAAATAACTAATTTATTAATATTAAGAAAGGTTAGATTTTTTTTGTTATAAATTTATAATCAATAAACATGTCTCTTATATTTGTATTTGTTTTAAAACTATCCTTGAATTATAGAGACATTTATCATATGTTCTGAAAGTTTTTGCATTCCCAGAACAAACATATGAGATTATTATATTAAGAGACACACATTAAATAAATTTCACTTCTTTATTAAATTCATAAATACATTCAATAAAAGTATTTTTATAAAGTAAAAATTAATACTAGAGATATAATACATTGAGTCTTTATAAAAAAGAGTAAACTAATTTGAAAATTTTGATAGCTAAATAAGTATTTATGGTGAATAATGCTTCGTGTATCATTATTATTAAATAAAAAAATCTGTTAACAAAGCCATCTCCCTCCTAATTTGGAGACTGATACAAAACCTTGCTCAATGCTCACAAGAGAAAGTCGCAATCAATGGTGTTTTTTTATAACTAAACTTGTGCATCTCCTAATCATCGTTATTAATTAACGACACCGGATGAGATGCAAATTTCATACATCATAATTTTACATCACATCCTTACATTTAATTACTATTCCATCCAACGGCTACGAAAAACGCAGGACCAGGGATCGATCTTCTCCTCTAACCGCACTGTATAAAAACCCAACAAATGTGTGGGTAATGTTTTTAGTTTTTAGTTTTTAGTTTCAGCGACATCGTTTCATTTCGTGTGGAGGGAAAACATTAAGAAGTGAGGTAGGCTTAAAAGCGTAGGGTTTAGCGAAAGAAGATAGCATCAGCATCAGCATCAGCATCAGTGAAGAAGGTAACTTTAACAAAGGAGGGAAACGACAGAGAGTATTTGATTTTCATGCGAATGTGATGGCACATGCTCTTCTAATTCGCCCTCCTCTGCTTCGCTTCATGGCCTCTCGCTTCCTCACCTCCTCTTCCATTCACACGCGTTTTTCTTCGTTCCCTCCTTCTACGCTCTCCAAGCCCAGGTATGCATAACTTCATCTTTCTGCTTGCCCCTTTTCAAAAGTTCTGAAATTTCGATGATAAAGCCAGAAGGGGTTGTTTGTTTGTCCTTATATTTTTCTGGGTTTTGAGCCAGGACAAGTTTTCCTCTGAGGAAATTTTGGGTTCCATGTTCGGTGCCCAATGCGGTCACTCCAAGGGCGTTTATGTCTTCTATCTCGACCCCCGAAGCTTTTCAGAAAAATGAAAATTCCACTGCTTATGGTTCTGATCAAATTCAGGTGTTTTGTTTATTTGGTTCGATGTGTCAATTTGATTGTATTAAAAAAAATTTATGAGTGCTATGTGGAGAAATTTTACATGATGTATTGGACCAGTTTGGATAAGCTTTTCTAGAAGTAATTATTGTAGAGCAAAATAGGAAGAAAAAATGAAATAAATTTCTCCAAGCTAAAATTACTTTATGCATAAGCTGATTTATAGAAGTTATGTCCTATTAGCTTCTCGGAAATATTATTTTTTAACTCATACGTAAGTTAGTTTTTACTGTTTTGCCTTATGAAGAAACTTATTTTGATTTCTCTTCCTATTTTTCTCTCTTAGAAGTGTTTTTGGAGAAGTTTATCGGAATTTGTGTATTTTCTTGTTGGTTAGTACCTTGGTTTAGTGAATTTCTTTGTTTAATGTGGTTTGGAAGTGGCGTGGGTTTGCTAAAGGGTTGTGTGATACATGTAGGTGCTTGAAGGCTTGGATCCTGTGAGGAAAAGGCCTGGGATGTATATTGGAAGCACTGGTCCACGTGGTTTGCACCATTTGGTATTGTCATCTTCTGGCTTTCTTTTTTGCAGCTGCTTTGTTGATGTTTTGTTTTTGTTATGAGGTTTTTCTGATTGAAGCAGAGTTTATGTGGTGTCTTAGGTGTATGAAATTTTGGATAATGCTGTTGACGAAGCTCAAGCTGGGTTTGCTTCCAAGATTGATGTTGTTTTGCTCGCTGATGATTCTGTGTGCATCACGGACAATGGTCGTGGGGTATGTGTTGTTTGTAGTTTAAATTTTCTCATTGGTTTATTATGCTCTGTCTGTGTATATCTTACTTATCCTTAGTTGGTTCATTTTTTTGTATAATTGTGCCCAAATATAATGTTGATTTGAAGTTTGAACCTTTACCTTTTAGATTTAAAATTTAGACCAGAAAAGCAAAATCGGAGTTGGTCACAGTATAATGATATCGTTTCTTTTAATGTAACTGGTAACTATTTTCTGACTTTCTTAGTTTTGTGGAGTTAATTATTACAAATGGCCAACTGCTTGACAATGCTAGCAATGGTTCTTTTATGGAAATAAGTATAATTTGCCATTTATCAAGATTTT